ATTACCATTCCAGTCGAGTTTGTTACATTAACTTAGGCACATATGAAAAGGTATGAATTTATCTACCCCCACCCTGCAACATCTAGTGAAGGAATAGCATCTGGAAAATCATTATTATTCTCAAAAAATGTTAATCAAATATCCACCCAGTAAAAAAAAACAAAAAAATCAAGAATTATTCTTATAATGTTCCAGCTTTAAATAACCCACAATAGGTTGATAAACCGTAAAAAAAAATCAACAACCATTAAATTTGATTTTCCTTATGGGTAACTTTTTAAATGAAGCTTCACAAACAGTCTCACATGCTTTACCACTTGATTTAAGGCCAGAAATATTATATTTTCGAAACTTTCTTGCTTCTGCAACCCTTAACAATTTCATAGGTGAGCAAATGAGGATTCTGTGTTATAGGGTCTTATATGATACGGGACATAGGCAAATGAGGTAAAGTCCTCAAATTTCCATTATCAGAAACTCCATCAGAATTATTCACTTTTTCAACTGACTTCTTCATAGTTCATTTGTATCAACCGGTCCGTTGTTTGCAATTTTTTTTTATCTTTATCGAATTCTGAAGTTATAAAACTTATCAACGCCTCTCGCGCCATTTGTCTATAATAAAAATAATAATGAACCTCCTTGAAATGATTTTTCTTTCTCACTCTGACATCGACTGCAAACACCTAAATGCTAATGGTGTGAATTCCTTTCAATCATTTTCCACACATTTCATTTTAATTTTTTATTGGAGGCTATTAAGTGTTTTAGCTTTTAGAGCCACGATATAGAGCGATATACACCCTTGTGCAAATTAATTGAAACAAAACGAATAATTTCGTTATTATTTAGTTTTTTCGTATTTTTCCAGTGCAACATGACCCAGTGCACATGTTAGTACCTCGTATGTCCATTCTACGAAGTCTTTCCTTACAGATTGACCACAGATTGATTGGATTTAAATTAAGAGAATCTCCGAGCCAATCGATAGTGCTTTGATTTGCTCACCGGTAAGGCTTGCCAGTGTGTTCGTTCAGCGTTACAATTTTCGTACGCTTCCTTAGAGACAGTGTCCGTACAACAACTAATCGACAGTTGAGACAATAGTGTCTTGGCGTGATGAAAATCTGATGTGATCACGGATGACGCAATTTTTTTCAACGCCAAACAAATTTCATCACACACCCCGAAAATAGATTCGTATTACTGTAAACTACTGAAAATGACATAATCTGAGGAAAAAAAAGAAATCGATTACACCCTGTCACTCCAATGGGTCTAAAACTGACCGTATGCTGAAAGAAAGGAAACTAAGGCAGTTGTTAGAATTAATTTGAACTAAGGTGTGTATCTACCCAGGAACGTTGTCTAGGGTTAGTCATAACGATTGTGCTCGCTTAGTGCTCTAAGGAATTTAGATCTGTAGCACGTACATCAATGGGCGTGACATTCTTGTAGGGAGTGTGGGGGTGATGGATTACCTAGAAATCAACAGAATTTTTCTGAAACCAATTTTGTGTCGCCTTTTGCCACCTCCCCCAAACCACATTCTGTCAACCACTTGCTTAAGGTCGCTTGTTTTCCCTTGTTTCTCTTTACCTCTATTCAATCCGTGAGTATCAGATTCTCCAGGCCTTTCTTTCTCATTGTGTCTCCCAGGAACTTCAGCTGCCTCTTCCTGATGTTAAGTATAACCAGCATTAATGTTACTATCTGTCTATATTTCTGACATGAGTTACCCTAACTATTTACACTAGTTACATTGTTCGAACTGTTGTCTTTATCATTGTGGTCATATTCATGACGTTTCAGCTGTTGTACGCTCCGGCCTTCCTCAGGTGATTGGAATTTCGAACTGAATCCTTTATTTCGTCCACTGGGGTAGACTGTTCTAGTTCCACACGCCATGCCTCTTCCGGATAGCTCAGTTTCAGTTATTTTCCTTTAACTTAACTCTCCAAGTTTTTGTCCGCCTCTGCTGTGGTCAGGTATTGAACTCACAACTGGCCCAGTGAATTGGTTGAAGTAATCCAGTGATTTGGCCCAAATAGTTCAATACCTGGCTACAGCAGAGTTAAACAAAAACTTGGAGAGGTGAGCTAAAGGGAAATAACTGATACTGAGATATCTGTAAGAGGCATGGCGTGTGGAAGTAGAGCAATCCACCCCGGTAGATGAAATAAAGGATTCGGTTCCAAAATCCAATCATCTAAAGAAGGCCGGAACGTACAACGGCCAAAACGTCGTGAATATGACAACAAATATGAGGACAGCAGTCTGAATAATGTAAATAGTGTAAATATTAATTTTACTGTTCATTTTTACCAAATACGATTTTGAATTTAACCCCTTTGGCTGACAGGGGAGTTTTCAATGATCATCTGTCTTGTAGCGAGCGGCTTTTTATCTCGAAAGTTTTGAAGTGAACCTTCCTATGCAGTAATTAAAAAAAAAAACTGTATTGTAAGAATAAAAATCATAGGCTGTTATTCGAAATTCGAAAGTAGATAGACAGGTGTTACAACGAGAAATAATCATTTGCAGGTCAGTATGCCAGCATGCAGAAAAAAAAAACCGACAAAGATATATAACGACAATGAATAATGGAAGTTGATATCAGTTACAATGAAGGAAGAGCAACAGGTGTACAAGATTGAGGAGAACGAAACCGCCATGTGGTAAAGAGGGAAAAGTCACAATAATGAGGAGATGGCCACGTCTATTGAAGGAAGCTTTTACTAATGCCCCAAAATAATGGCTTACACGGAAGTAAGAAAAAAAAGCAGGAAGTGACGTCATAATAAAGCCTTAATGACGAATGATGTAGCGAGTTGGAGCAGAGAAGACGAGAATAAAGAAACATTGTTAAATGCAGAGAAATACCCATAACTTTTCTCCATTACTGTATGATAGCATCCGCCCTTCCCTGTTCATTATTTTAATCAAGGTTTTTTTGTCATCATCATAAACCCTGCTTTCTAGAACAAGCCTTTTTTTGCCGGCGACATTATCAGTCATTTTTTTTCTTTTTCTTCTCCAACTAACTGCTCGCGCGAAGATGTGCATGTGTTCATAATGAGAGAGAGAGAGAGAGAGAGTGATAACGAGAGAGACATAAAGAGTGAGAGAGATAAAGAGAGAGAGAGAGATAAAGAGAGATATATAGAGAGAGAGAGATAAGGAAAGAGATAAAGAAAGTGAGAGATAAAGAGAGAGAGATAAAGAGAGAGAGATAATCAGAGTGATAGATAAAGAGAGAGATGTATATATATATATAGAGAGAGAGCAAGGGAGAGCGGTGAGAGGAATTTATCGATCACATGCGGCGCGCTGTTAACGTTTTTCAAAATGGCTTTTTGACCTTCAAACGTTTTGGCATTCTGTGCAAGTCCCCACCTCGATTGTCATTCCTCTTTGGTTGGCATGACGTAAACTAAAGCAAAAGAGAAAAGCGCATGTCAGTATGAGTTTTGACATTTAAATCCCCACCCCCGCTCATCTGCCTAATGTACTCTCTTTCTTTCTCTGATCCAAATCTCTCCGGGGATCTAACCTTACACCACCACGCCTCACCGCTTTACATTTCATAACCAGAAGAAAAGACAATTTTATAGAAAATCAAAAACAAAATTTCGCTTTCAATTTGTGACTGTTCACACATTGCAGGCCGATAAACAACAATTATAGAGATAAATTTTTTTTTGAAACCGAACATTACAACATAAATGTATAAAAGACTTTGGATTGACCTTGTTTTCCTGTAGATATTTTGCCTGGTTGACATTCAAATGGAAACGCATAACAAAACTCTTCTCTCAAAATCCTGATGACGAACAAGTATTGAAGTAATAGAAACATGGTCATGAGGCCATGTACTGTTTATATCCGATATTGAAATTCAGTCAGTTATGTGCCATGCGGGATACACGCTTAGGCGATCATGTATCTTTCGATACATGACTGACGAGACAGATTTTTCCACTAGCTAAGTTGCCATTTCTTTCTGCGGTAAACCAGTCGTCATCCAAGGCTATAGAACCCAGCCTGTCCTGCTATTTACCCAACGTCAGTCAGTTATGTGCCATGCGTGATACACGCTTAAGTGATCATGTATCTTTTGATACATGACTGACGAGGCAGATTTTTTCCCGGGGTAGGTTGCCATTTCTTTCTGCGGTAAAGCAGTTGTCATCCAAGGCTATAGAACCCGGTCTGTCATGCTATTTACCCATATCTGTGGGGAGAAGAAGAGAATTCATGCATTTTCCAATGGTATTAGCACGTAAATGAATGTAATAAATCCGACTGGAATTCGAACTCGGCTCTCTGATATTGAAATTAATGTGTTATTAATGGCGTTAATAACATTAAATGGTGACTAAGTTCTAGGAAGCATTAATATTTTATTTGGATTTTATCGAAAACATAACATTCGGGACTGGAAAGTTTGGTTGGTAAGGCGTGAGTTTAGTTTGGCACGAAGCCAAAGGCTAGAAAAAAAGAGAAGGAAAAATTGATCAAAGGAAGGAAAAAAAGATGGTAACTCTGCAAGATCCATAAATTTATGTCGAGTCGTACAATCTAAGCTGATAATATTTGATTGCATCTCCCTTCGATTAACATCCTTTCAGAAAAAGTGGAGAACAAGATTATTCAAGTCAAGTGAAATTGGATTGCCATCCCTTTGACCAATTGAAGAACCAGCATTGATCGCTCTCTCTCTCTCTCTCTCTCTCTCTCTCTACCCCACCGATATGATTGTGTTATATACCGTACCTAGGAACACTAATGTGTATGTCCCAATCCTCATAAATACATTGGACACTATTGTAAGTGTGTGTGTGAGTGGGGGTTATATGGTGTCTAAGTAGTCCACCATTAGCAGTGGTTTACCTACTTCACGCCGCTGGCGAGTATTGTATTTTATTGATGTTATAAAGATTAACATTTCTTTTCCAACCTCCGTTTTGGTTATTCCTCATTCAGTAACCCTTCCTAGGTTACAAGAGATAGATAGATAGATAGATAGATAGATAGATAGATTTGATGTGTCCATTCCTCGGAAAGCTCCTGAGACAAAAATCCAAAAAAAGACAAAGTAAGAGGAAAAGAAAGGATATAGAGAAAATCGACATTAACACGAAAAGGAAAAAGATATTGAGTCTGTGCAGAGTAAATCTAAAAGGGGGGGGGTATATACTGTGTCTATGAACACTAATGGGTATGTCCCAATCCTCAAAAATACGTTGGATACTATTGTAAGTGTGTGTGTTGGGGACGGGGGTAATATGCTGTATAAGTAGCCCATCTGTAGCAGTGGTTTACCTACTTCACGCCGCTGGCGAGTATTGTATTTTGTTGATGTTATATAGATTACCATTTCATTTCCGACCTCCGTTTTGGGTATTCCTCATTCAGTAGCCAACAGATTGCATTATTATACAAATTGATAAATGACACGGGTGTTTACAACTAAGACTATCCATTATTCTATTCTTCTGCTTCTCTCTCACTTTTTGAATGTATCTTCTCATTTTCTCCCTTATCCCTTCCAATGTAAATTTAAAATTATCAGTTATCTCATATCATTGCTCTTCTCTCACCTTTTGCCCGTATATTTTTATTCTCTTCCTTATCTCTTTCAATACATCTAAGATTATCTATTTTCTCATACCTCTGTTCACATCACAGTCTTTGGCATATCCATTCCTATACAACAATAATTCTTTCATCAGACCAAGTTTTCTCTTCATCGCTTTCTTATCCGCTATCTTTTCTACATAAAACCCCCTTTTCATCCTCGTCTCTCCCTTGCTTTTACCAATTCCGTACAGTTTAATGTTGTTCTGTAGGCTTCCCGTAACGGATTCCAGTATAGAAGCAAAAATGAACAGATTCTACACTCTGATCTAAGGTAGAAAAGAGCAGCGTGGTTGTATATAACAAGCAGAGATCTTCTCCATAAATATTTGTGTTTGTTTTCGAAGGAAAAATATTCTTCAACTAATTCGCAACGTAAACGCCCGAGAAAAGGTTTAAATAGTAACTTTGAAAAAAGTGGCATGACAATAATAAAAACACGAGCAAAGAAACAAGATCAATTGTTTCTCTGGTGAGCGAAAGTGTTTTTACCCCAATGGATTCGATATGCATTATCAGATAACCACTGTTGGGAAGGAGGAACAAAAAAAAACCCGCTTTCAAACACAATCAAAAATAATGTTTTCAAGCAGAGTTACTCACGAAAAAAAATTCGAGACATGTAGTCTCTGTCTAAATATGAACTTTTATGAGGAATGATCACAACAAAACTATGTCTGGAAAAAAAAATTCTCATTGTTTTCAGGATTTCCTCCTCCCCTTCCTCCCCTTCTTCCCCTCCCTTTCTAACATTACTGACAGCCAAAGCGTTCAGAGTAAAGCTATATAACTTGATTTAGCTCTTCTAGAAATAAATATAGAAATTAAATAGCGTTGTTTAGAAGTTAAACCATTTATTGCCGAATTATCTATCGTTTGTCTCTTGTTTCCTGAACTCTTTTCATATTTTCTTTCATCATCAACGACGAATGAAAAAGAAGGACTTGAAACAGATGAAAAACTATCGTAACTCCACATAGCATCAACCATATATAAGCACCTGAGCGTAATACTCAATGTTGGCGTGATGACAACGTATAAAATTGTATTGTTGACAATGATTTTTGCGTAAGACAGAAGCTTTTAGAAAATTATGGCTCGTACAAATCAAGCATTGCAACCTTTTTAATACAGTTCAAAAAAAAAAAAATAACTGATGTAACTTATAGAACTGGTTTCTTCATTCTTACAATACACAGTCTATACTGACAAAATTTCTTTCTGACAAAATAATTTTCTCAAGAGAGGAAAATAAAACTATGAGTAAAAACAATTTGAGGAATGCCATTTTTTTTTTGTCAGCTCTTAATTGAAAACGTAATGTTTCAGGTTGTTTCGGAAGAACAAAAATGTTTTTTTCTTGATTCAAACTAGTATTTGAAGACGTTTTGAAAAGCTGAAGAAGTTTTTCACGTTAAATAGTTTTAGAGTTCAAAGAAAAATGGGACGCTTATTTAAACATTGACAAATACACCAGAACATTAATGCGTGTTTCCTCAAGTATACGGATATATATATATATATATAAACAAATGTCAGCTTTATCCCACTAAAAGTTACAAAACTAACAGCGTTCTGGGTTTGGCGATAAACTACGACGACGGTCAGCAAGACCTCTAATCAGGAAATTGGAGGTTTTGAGGATCCTGAAACAATCTCTTAATAGCTGTTGTTCCCAGGTCCACCCTGACCCGGGGTGGTACCATATGATAGGGCCCCAAATAGTGAACTTCCCACAAAAATATTATAATAAATGCAACACTAAAAATATAAAATTATATTTTTATAGTAAAATTTCTAATTTTATACATTTTATAATCTATATATATCAGGTCATCCCATAGGTTCTGTCCGAATTTTGAATAAAGAAAACAAGTGACCAAATGTTACATCTAATTACAGATTCAATGAACAATGTATTTTCCCTGATTATCTATGACTTCCTTCCATCTATTAACAAGTTTACTAATTCCATTACTGTAAAATTCTTTTTGGCTTTGATTCGAAGAACTCACAAATGTCAGTTTTAACCTCTTCCTGTGTTACAAAAAGCTGTTTCTTCCAAATGATTCTGTAAGCTACGAAACAAATGGTAGTCTGAAGGAGCAAGATCGGGAGAATAAGGTGGATGAGGAATTTTCTCCCAACCAAGTTCTTCGATCTTTTGTGACGTGATTCTTGCTGTGTGGGGGGTCGCGCATTGTCCTGATGAAACATCACCTCTTTTCGATTCACTAGAGCAGGTCTTTTTTTTTCTCAAAGCTTGGTTCAAACGCTCTAATTGCTGACAGTATATTTGAGCATTAATTGTTGCATTAGGTGGTAAGAATTCAAAGTGGATTATTCCTTGGCGATCCCACCAGATTGAAAGAAGAACCTTTTGCCCATGAAGTTCCCTTCTCGGCTGTGGCTGGGGTCCTTCCCTTTACCAAGCCACTGTCTACGACGCTTAACATTTCGATAAAAGATCCATTTTTTCGTCGCCAGTCACAAGTCTATCCAAAAAATGGTGAAACAAGTTGGCGAGAATGGAGAGAAGAGCAGATGTCAACTCGGGATTTGAGGTTGTTTTCAGACAATTCATGAGGCACCCATTTTCCAAGTTTAGGAACTTTTCCAAGTTGTTGAAGATGACGATGAATAGTTGTATGGTTTGAAATGAGAACCACTGCCAATTCCTCAACTGATAAAGCAGGATTTTCTTCAAGGGCTGCTTCAAGAAGCTTTTCATCAAACTCAACTAGACGTCCGGTTCGATCTTCATCTTCAAGGGTGAAATCTCCACCTCTGAATTTTGCAAACCATCTTCTGCAAGTTCTTTCATTCACATTCCTCTCCATAAACTGAGTGAAAGTTTCTAGCCGCTTCGGCTGCTGAGTTTCCTTTCTTGAACTCATAAATCATTATGTGCCTCAAATGATTCTTGGGTACTTCCATGTTAGCAGGGTTTTAATCAAACAAAATTTAATTTTATTGTTCTCTGAAATAAAATTTGATCAGTTTAAATGCATCTAAACATAAAAATAATGTTCAGCTCCATTAGACATTATAAAATACTCTTTAAATTTCGTTCATTTTAACAAAAAGTTAAAATTCGGACAGAACTTATGGGATGACCTGATATATATATATATATATATATATATATATATATATATATATATATATATATATATATATATATATATATATATATATATATATATATATATATATATATATATATATGAAATATTTCAAACTATTTAAACCCTATATTTATGGGATAAAGTGCTTTATATCAGAGATAGCGTATTAAATATAATATATAAATATGAACATTGAAGTCAGCATTTCAGAGACATGAATTTTCATGCTGGATGCCATCGTCAGGCCGCGAATGTGATCTTCGCTTGACGACTGCGTCCAATATGAAACAGCACTTTCGTCTCTGAATGTTGAATTATAAGTTCAAAATATATTATATATTTATATATATATATATATATATATATATTAATATATATATATATACCTGGTAAATTTACTCTCTCGAAAAAAAATCTCGGTTTCTTTGATTTGCTATTATCAACTCAATTTCGAAGGAAAAAATGTTTTTTAAAAAAAATTTTTATGAAAAATGAACGCCTGTCGAAAAATAATCGTACAAATATACAGGTTTAAAGCCCAAAGAAAAAATCCTAATACGAGTAATCAACTAACTTAAAAGTGCTTATAATACAAAAGTAGAGCAGACCTAGTCAAACCTATAGAGAGCCAGAAAAACCTAGGTAGGAATTTCACCTAATTTGGATCGTTCAAGATCACTGTCTATAAAAGTGTTGCCACTTGCTCACGTCTGGCAATACGAACTTTAAAAAAATTTTTTAATTTTTTGGGTTTCCCTATATATATATATATATATATATATATATATATATATATATAATAATCTAAACATATTTTTTTAAATATGGTCTGTTTTTTTTTATTAAATATTTTTTAAAATCTGTATTCACATTGAGCTAATAAAATTTCATCCTCCTCCATTACCCATTCGGTTTACCAAGTTCTTCGTAAAAATACTAAATATATATATATATATATATATATATATATATATATATATTGAATTTGTAGGTCTGATGAATTGGATCGTGATTACGATTCCAATGTAATAAATTATAATCATATATATATAAACCATATATTTATTAGAGGCTCAAAATGGAATATTCCATGGTTATAATTTATTACAATTGAATCGGAATCTTCCAATTCATTTAAGATTTATTAATTCAATATATATTATATATATATATATTTTATAAATGGTAAGACTTAAGTTTTGTTGGTTACCAACTCATCAGGCACGAAATATATCGACATTTCGAAATATATGATATTTTGTGCCTGATGAGTTGGTAAACCACAAAACATAAGTCGCAGCCCAAACGTAGCTATACGTACATTTATTAATATATATTTCTTAGGTCTGTCTAACCACATCTATCACTGTTATGTTTATATTTAAATTTAGTAAA